AACTCCTAGAATTCTGGGAGTTGAAGTCCACATATCTTAAAGTTGCTAAGGTTGAGAAACACTGCTGTATACATTCAGATTGCCCCTCTTCGACGGGCAATCCTTTTACTGTCTCTTGGAATAGCAAGAAGCTATTGGGTGGTATGGGTTCGCTTTTGTTACTACCCAGTTTGTGTCATCTTTTATTCTTGTTCACTGTTGTACTGTTTTACTATTTTTGATGTTTTACTTGTCAACCACTCAGAGTCATTGGGAGTCAGTTGGCGTACACATTTAATAAATAAATAAGAAGACCATATGTTGTACCCCAGCCAATATTACTTAATAAAACTCATTAAGCTGGACTAGCTGCCAGCTCTTTTTAAACACCTCCATTGGTTTGTCTTGGCCAGTACCAAATTTTACCTGTCTTCAGATATTAGGAGAGTTCAGATAACTGACTGTCTGCGTAGAAAGGAAGACTCATGTGTAGAAAGGAGCAGCAGTGTAACCAGGGTCATCCAAATAAAGTGGGGGATGTTTTAAAGCAGGCATATGTTGTGGTTTTGTCTCTCCCTTCCTGCCAAATATTGGAATAGAATTTCCCATCTCTGATGAAAAGTAAGGTGATTCCTGTTGGGGTGAGCAGACTAAGTTTGATAGGATGCTACCATATACTTCCAAACAGGAGCAGTCTGAAAGCCACCTTGGAATTTGACAATTATTCTGAGAAGTTTTGTCTGCTTCTTCACTTGGAAGAGATCCAAATGGAAGTGGACATCCATCGATATGATATGAAAAAAGCAAGCATGTTTATAGACAAGCACAATAAGAAACTCCTTGTTCTGAAGGTGAGTGACTTATAGCCTAGGGCCTGGAGGAAATCCTTGTTCTCTGAATGCAATGGCCAGAGCATGGGTGCGCAACCTCAGCTCCTTTGCTCCTCCTTAGTTGCTGCTGATTTGCAGTAAGACTTCATAGGGTGGGAATCAGAGAATGGTGTAGAGGGATGGGTGGAAGTCCATTTATAAAACTCTGGGTGAGTTTAAGAAAAAATTAGGAAGTTTCGGATCTTAGAAAGTACAGGATCTGTTTCCCACAAAATAAAAATCAAAGTTGCTTGTTTGGAATAGCCTCCCATAATTACTATCCCAGAGGTTAATTTCCATGAAACAGCAGAACCACATATAAAATATATCAAATTTTACTGTACTAAACAAAAAGCAAGTCATGTCTTCTAAATATACATGTGTTATATACACACGCACACAAGTGTGTGTGTGCGCACACACAGGTGATCTACTTGTTTGTATTCTGAATCTTGGCGGAGTAAGATGCCTACCATGCCACTGCCTCCTCCATGTGCCACTGCTAGCACTTTTCAGATGATTTAGATTCAGCGTTTTGTCCCCCCAAAGTTGTGTACGTACAAGTTAAAGCATTTGACATGGATAAAAAGTAGAGTCTTCTTCGAGGGCAGCTCAAGGTCAGAAGCAAAGGACCTGAGAGCAGACCCATTCAGCAACTTCTTACTCTGAGAAACAGGTGGTGCTCAGTCCGTTACAGCATAAGGGCAAAAGAATTTAAACCTAGGGCTTGAGTCTTAGAGTTTGCAATTGCTGTTTTTCTTCAGTGTTAAGGGCTTTTTTTAGTATCTGCACTTAAAGTATCTTATTCAGGCTGGATCTTTGAAACTCTGTCTGCAGGCCTTCCGAGTGAATCGGTCTGCGTGAAGCAGGACAGTTACTTACGGATAACTGCTTAGCCACCGTAGTCCCATACTGTAGCAAATCAGATGGCACATACAGTATTATTTGCCTTCCAGTTCAAATCAGCTGTTGGAAATTAAGCTTAGGTCATGTAGATGATAATTAGGAGAAAGGAAAGGTAGAATGGATGCTGAAAAGGTATAAGAGAGGGAACAGAATGCTGGAAACTAAGAGGAAACAAAAACTGACAGCGCTAAAGTAAGACTCAGAAAGTAGTCAATAAAGGGGAAGCACCAGGAGTACTTAAACTGTCACTCAGTAGTATGTTGTAACTCCTAAATTCAAAATTGTGTATGAAATGTTATTAAAGAGAAGGTTAGGAAGATTCCCCTCCCCCCAAAAAATGTCACAGTGAATGCAAATACATATGGTTTAAATTCATTTGCCACAGCAGAAGCAATTGTCTGGTGTGGCAAGGCATTCTTTTCCCTACCCAAGAGCTCAGTTGCTCAGGGCATGAGAATTAAACAGTTTGTGTCTCAGATTGGCCTGATTCTTTGTTTCAGGCACCTGGCGTGGCAGAGAACCGGCCTTCCGTGTTGAAAGGTGACCATCTGTTTGTGAGCTCCGTTGAAGGGCACACAAAATACCCAGTTACCCTCTATAAAGGTTATGTTCATGCTGTGGAGTTGGCGGAAATCAAGCTCGGGTTTTCTGAAAAGTGAGTACATCAGCTTCAGCCTAGGGTTAGATCTTTTTTACGAGAACAAGATTGAGATAACTGGCTCCTAATCCAGCATGGCTAGCTATAAGGCTTTCATTTTAACTGAGAAGGGTAGGAATAGCATTTAGCTGGCTTAATTTAATAGATTATGGCATCTGCCCTTAAAAGATTCAGGAATTGACAATTCTAGATTATGGGGATCTTCATCGCCTTAAACTTACTGCCTGCTGTATTGTTGCTCAACAGGTTAATATTTTTGATAGACAAGAAGAGTATGGTAAAGCTCAGCCTTCTTCAATTTGTTGTTCTCTAAATATGTTGAAACTCCAATTCCCAGAATTCCCAGCCAATGACCTTCTGGTAGCAAATTGGGGGAAGGTTGTTACAAAGGAATACAAAATCTTGCATACTTCTGTATGCAATAAATGGATCAGCAGTTTGAGAAGCACAGCTGGTGAAGCAAATTACCTTAGGTCAAGGTTATTTTGAAAGTTGGGTGAGGCCAAGAAAGAAGTATGATCATGTGGAAGTAAACAGTGGGGCTCCTGATTTGGGAAAGATGGCCATGGGGTTGGAATAGGCAGACTAGGAAAAAAATAAACAAGTTGGGACTAGAAATGATGGTAGATTGTGTGCAACATGCATGTGTGATAACTGCCAATGTTTTCTTCAAACATCCATCAGCCTCCTTTTCTTATCCTAGACTACGAGATCAGTTTATCGATAACATGAAGTTTGATGTGACATTTTCCTTCAGTCGTCTGCCATTACGCATTCAGCATCGGGCTGCTATTCTCGCTCAGGAGAGGAAATTGTCCCATCTGCTCTTCCCATTCTTCTCTCATGAGAAACTCCTCCTGTCTCCTAGTGAGAAACTCCGGTGAGTAGGGACAAGAGAGGTAGGGAGAGAATGCCAGTGGGCAAGGAGAGCACAAGAAGAACAGTACTGAATGAACTGGCCAAATACTCCAGCTTTCTCTTGCCAGGTAGCCAGATTTCTGTGGGAAGCTGAGAAGGAACTTCCACTTACGTTCCACAGCAGATAGTTCAGCAGTTACAAATAGCTGTCACACCACTGATCACCTCTTTGGTAGCCTTGTCAAATGCCTTTTAGAACCCTCTGAAATTGTGGCACACCATTAAACTTGTGGGAGCAAGTTTCTTAGTTGAATGATGTAATATGCAGAAATATTTGCTTTTATCCATTCTGAATGTCAGCTTCATTAGATAGCTCTGGATTGTAATATTCTGAATGAGGGAGAATTAGCTTTTCCCACATCATGCATAATTTATGAGTTTATGTATCTCTCTCCCCTCCTGCCTCCAATATCATCTTCTGTCTTTTTCCAAATTAAAAATCAAAGAATTTAGGGAAATTGTTCCAACCTAGTCTAGCAAAGCCAGGGCAAGGGATAGGTGTCTTTTTCTGCTTACAATATTTTTTTTGAAGTGTAGTGACTGGATTGCTGTATTATACATGATATTCCAGCTATGATTGAGCATAGATTTCTGCAAAGGCATTGTGATGTTGATTGTTCTTTATTTGTTTCTTCTTCAATATGGAATCTACCTTTTACAGAGTAGTCACGTATTGGTCAGTATTTCCTGTGAGCTGCCTGTACAACCTAAGATCCTCTTCATCACTCACTACTAGCTCAGATCCCATCAGCATTTATGTAAAGGCAGAATTTTTGCCCCATTGTGCACCACTTCACAAGTGGTGCACAATGATAAGTGAAGCCTCGTTTGCCCATTGGAAAGTTTCTTAGGGATACAGATAACTGTAAAAAGTAGGTGCTGACTTGCATACAAATACAGCTAGTCCTTGCTTCATGAGCATTCATTCAGGGACTGTTCAAAGTTACAGCACTGAATGAATGGTACTTATGCTTGGTCCTCAAAGTTATGGCTGTTGCAGCGCCCCCGTCATGTGATCAAAATCTGGGCACTTGGCAGCCTGCCTGCTTTTACAAACTCGGGTGCTTAAACTCCCCCCATCCATCTATCCCCCCCTCCTCTGTCCTTTTGGCTGCCCTCAGCTGACCTTCACCATCTTCTTCCTCCCGCTGCTGACGAGGTGTGCCCAGCCTGGCCCTTTGTGAGGCAGCTGCTGGCTACGTGCGACCTTCTTCCTAAGGCTGCACCGGTCTTCTCAAAGTCGCATGAGGCCTTCTGAAGCCTTGCAAGAAGATTGGGTGCAGCCTCAGGAAAGAGGCCTTGTGCGGCCAGCAGCTACCTCATGAAGGGCCAGACCTGGTGTGCCTCGTCAGCAGTGGGAGGAAGAAGATGGCAAAGGTTAGGTGGGGGCAGGGGAACGCGGGACAGCTTGTGTGCCCTCCGACCTCCTGCCCCTGCTGGCTTGCACTGCACCACAGCAGCCACTTACTTACCTGCCCACTAGCCTGCTT